GTTTTGCTGCGTTAGGTTTTAAAGTTCAGCGGTAATTGCCGTGACCAGGTGCCAAGTGGATCTGCTCCCTGGGGAAGCCTCCTGGTGGCTACCTTCCAGCTTTATTGTTTGTATAACCTGTGTGCCTTCCTCCTGGTGACCATCTTTCCTGGACTCTCCTCTTTGCTGAGCCCCAAACTCAATCAGACTGCACTATTTTGGGATGGAGAGAGAGCCATGCCTCCACCTGCTTGGTACTCTCCTCCTCCAGCCCACCCAGATGGGATGACTGAGCCAAGGGCAGGCTGTGGACAATCAGAACGCCAACATGGGGTTGTTATGAATAGAGCCTTGAGACCCCAGCAAGTGCCTTGAGCTTCCTGGTAGGCTCATGGCCACACTTGTAGCAGCTCATGTGGGTTCTGGCAGGGCAGATGGAACACTCTTTATTTCTAGTACAGATTTCACATTTTTAACTCATCTTTAGCTGCTCTTTCAGGTAAATGCAACCAACCCAGGATGTCTTGGCAGACTCTAGATAACACACACAGTCTTGTCTAGTTAAACTTCCCCGAGTCCTTATTGGTATGGATGCTGCTTCAGGATGGCACCTATCTCCGAGAGGAGGAGGCTTTTAGCTTCCTGGGGAATGGCTGGTTTTGTTTTTTTGTTTTTCTTTTCTACAACCACATCTGCTGTGGTCTGGATATGGCTCCAGTGTGTCCCCCAGACTCGTGGTCTAGAAGCTTGGTCCTTTGGGTGGATGTTGGAAGGTCCTCTAAAATGCTGGGCCTCTCTTTCCCTTCTCTGTTGGGCCATCATGGGAGAAATAAAGCCTTCCTCTTGATGGCATCTCAAACAGATGAGGTTACCCTGGCTGCCATGTGAAGAAACAGAGGGATTTAGCAAGGATGATGTTGGGAGAGATTTTTCTGACTATAGTGCCCAGGAAAGGGCACACAGGTGACATAGATCCTCTTCAACTTACAATGAAGCTGTGTCACCCAGAATCCACCACAAGTGGAAAGAATCTAAAGTCATCTGCCTTGCAGATCCAGGACAGCTCGTGGGTTTCATTTCCCCCATCCAGGTGAGGGCTTGCTGCCGCCGAGTGCTGCTGCTGCCAGATCAAGTCTGTCTGCTGTCCGCCTGAAAGCCAGCAGGCAGAGATGGTGGGGAGGAAGTCAGATTTCAAGGGCTGGGACCCAAGAAGATGTCTGCCCCCTGAAACAAGTGCTGTAGGGAGCGCAGAGTTGCTACTGCAGATCTGATGCTATCAGAATCCTCTCATCTTTTAAAAGAGGTTTATTTATTTGTATTTTCTGTGTGTTGGCGTTTTGACTGTATGGCTGTGTGCCATTTGCATGCAGTGCCCTCAGAGACCGGGAGAGGGAGTCAGATCCATTGGGACTGGAGTTGATGGTTGTGAGCATCCATGTGGGTGCTGGAAACCAAATCTGGGTCCTCTGAAGAGCAGCTTGTGCTTTGAACCACTGAACTATCTCTGGCTCTTCTTCAGTTTTTTTTTGTTTGTTTGTTTTGTTTTGTGTGTGTGTGTGTGTGTGTGTGTGTGTGTGTGTGTGTGTGAGAGAGAGAGAGAGAGAGAGAGAGAGAGAGAGAGAGAGAGAGAGAGAGAGAGAATGACCTTATTGGATACATTTAGTACATCTTCATCTCCAGCTTTCTGAAATGTTAAGATATTTGTGCCTTGGTTCTGCATATGAGAGAAAACATGATTTTCGTCTGAGTTTAGTTTGTATTACCAAAATTTCCCCCAGTTCTATTCAATTTTTAAAAAGCTACATGGTATTTTTTTATGGCTGAATAACACCCCATTGGGTATATGAAGTAATCTTAAGTTACAGTCACGTGCAGTGCACCCCAGTCTACCAAGCATGCTAGCTTAGGAGCACAGCTGCCATGGAGGGCCACTTACGCCCCCTCAGTGACCATGTGGCCAAATCTGTAGGTTGCTACCACTGCCCGGCACAAGTAGTTCAAACTTCATAGAACAGCCATTGCTTCCTTTCCTTCATGAAGTTGAAAGGGGCTGGAGAGAAGGCTCGGCAGTTGGGAGCAGGCATTGCTATTGCACGGGACTCTGTTTGGTTCCTAACGCTCATGTCAGGCAGCCCACAGCCTCCTGTAACTCCAGTTCCAGGGGGTTTGATGTCCTCTTCTGGCCTCTAGGAGTCCTGTACTCACACGTGCATATACACGGGACACATGTACATTCATATGATTAAAAATAAATAATAAATATTTTGAAGTTAAAAAATTGTCCATGATGCCAGGCGGTGGTGGCGCACGCCTTTAATCCCAGCACTCAGGAGGCAGAGCCAGATGGATCTCTGTGAGTTGGAGGCCAGCCTGGTCTACAGAGCAATACAGGCACTAAAACTACACAGAGAAACCCTGTTTGGAAAAAAAATCGTCCATGAACTACTGTTAAGTGGGGCCCGTCTGTAACAGAACCTACTTCAGATGGCACAGTGAGCATTAGAGAAGAGACTGTGAGGACCACAGTCAGTGTGAGGACAAGCAGATGCATGACCTCTCTCCTCTGTCAGGCGTCATTGCTCCATGTTAGACTTTGGAGTATGGTACTTACAGACAAGGTTCAAGTTCTCTAAAGGCACTCGGGGTGGGTTGTGGGCCTAGATTCTCTAGTTTGCTCTGTTATGGTTTGAATGAGAAACATCCTCACTAGCTTTTGTATTAGAACCCTTGGCCACCAACGTCTGGCATGGTTTTGACACATGAGTGGCAGAGGCCACCTGAAATTCTGGTCTAGCTTTCTGTTTCCTGATCCACCATGCTGTGAATAGTCTCTGGCGCTCACTCCTGCTGCCGAGTCCTCCCCCACACCTTCCTCAATATACTGAGTCACTGTGAGCCCAGACAAAACCTTTCCAAACTTAAGTTGCTTCTCTTGGGGTATTTTGTCACAGCTATGTGAGAAGTACTAATACACACTTGCAGGTTATACAGACAGCGTGGGAGGCTGCCATAGCCTTGTGGGTGTTGAGGCCGAGGTGTGGGAATGAGAGGCTCTCTACAGCAGAGTGTCTCCTTCACCCAGCCAGGTCTGCCACTGCATGCACTTGTCCTGTGGGTTAGGTTCTGAACTGGGATCCACTACAGCAGACTCTTTTGAAAGCCTGAAAACCAGCCCCCACCCCCCCACCCCATCCCCACCCCCGCAGCTCACAGTTGCCCTTGCTGTAAGGATGAGGTCAAGGACATTTCTTTGGAGGCCCTATTATCTAATCTTCACATCAGGAATCTTTGTTCTCCATTGGAAGCTCATGGCTCATGCTGAGCTCGTGTTCTGGGCCACCCAGCTGCTCTGGGCTGCAATAAAACCATGACATTGGCCACCTGAAGTTAACATCAGACCCCACAAGTTAAGGACAGAGTCCTCCATAAGACTGACCTTTCTTCAGACACCATCCACATGAGGGGTCTCCAGGTTCGCCCTGCTGATGCAGACTAGGGAGTTTGTATGGCTACTTCGTGTCCAGGATTTGTTAGAAAGATCTGAAGAATTCAGGAGAGTGCTGGCTGACATCGACAGTTTATAGAAAGGATCCACCTGGGGCAGAGCAAGTTGAGTCCTGAACAGAAAGCTGTCCTGTCCTTTGCCCATGGAGTCCAGACTCATGATCCTCCCAGCACATCAGCCTGTTCACCCGGAAGCTTTCCTGAACCTTGTTGTCCAGAATTTTTTTAATTATTATTTTATTTTATGTATATGGGTGTTTTGCCTGCATGTATGTATGTGTATTGCATGTTTGCAGTGCTCACAGAGGCCAGAAGAGGGCGTCAGATCCCTTGGAACTGGAGTTACAGGCAGATGTGAGTCACCATGTGAGTCCTCTCAAAGAGCAGTCAGTGTCCTTAACCACTGACCCATCTCTCCAGCTCCCCTTTTCCAGAGTTTTAAATGGGTTTTGTTTAATTATGAATAGTCCAGATTTATTGGCCCCATAATTGACCCAGTCACCACCATCCTCTCCTCAGATATCAGGCACCCTCCATTTCAAGTGGTTGATATTTCTGGTGACTGGCCTCTGTCTTGAGGCTCTCTAAGAGTTCCCCATAGTTGGTGACCTCATTTACATAATGAGTTACTCCATCAGGCAGGGAATTAGAGGAGCTTTTGCAGCTATATTGTCAGGAACCCGGGGGCAAAGTCCAGATAAGTTCTTAATTGTACCACAGCCCATTACCAAGTGTGTCAGTCAGCTCCCCGTGACTGTAGCAAAATATCAGAGCTAATCAACTTATAATGAGAAAAGGTTTCAGACCATGGTCGCTTTCAGAACGGTTGCTTCTGTGCCTGTGATGAGGCTGAGTATCAGTGTGTGGCTGAACACATTGCTCAGGAAGCAAAATGAAAGAGGAGACTGGGGTCCGACAGACCCTCCTGGAGGTCCATCCCCAGAGAACCTGGCTTTCTCCCACTAAGCTCCGCCTCTTAAAGGTCCCATAGCTTCCCAATAGCACCACATGCCGAGGGGGGGGCTTTGACACCCGGCCTGCTGGAACTGTCTAAATCACTGCTCCAAGCCAGTCCACGGCTGTGAACTGCAGCTTCCACCTGATGGACTCCTAGACTCCTTATGTGTCTTCCTTCTGTGAATCCCACTTGTAATTTATGCTTTCAGGTCTTCCTCCCCTCTCCTCACACTCCTCTTTTTCTAAAATCAACTTGTATTGATTATTGACAATTCCATACACGTATATAATGTATTTTGGTCTTATTCATCTCCCGCCCACAATGAACCTCTTCTTCCCAACAAGTCCCCCTTCCCGAATTTGTGTGAGTATGTGTGTGTGCATGTGTGAGTGTGAGGGGTTGGGTGTGGGGGGGTCTGTGCGAGTGTGGGGGTTGTGTGTATGAGTGAGTGTGGAGGTTGGGGGTGTGTGTGTATGTAGGGAGTTGGGTGTGAGTGTGTGTGAATATGTGTGAGTGTGGGGGCTGGGTGTGTGAGTGAGGGGTTGGGTTGTGTGAGTGTGTGGGTGCGAGACTATGTGGGGGGGTATGTGTGAGTGTGTATGAGAGTGAGTGTGTGGGGGTGGATGTGAGAGTGTGTGTGTCCTGCTGAGTTTAATTAGGGTTTACTTGCAAAGAGAGTTATTTACTAAAGCACAGAGAGGCCCCCAGTGAATACATGACTCGTCCCCTCCTAGCAACCATTAACGGCCAGTAGCTTCTCAGGGAGGGGGGTACCCGTGAGACCCTCTCACACCCCTGATGAAATATTGAAGGGCCCAGTCTTGTGCGGTGACCACAGTTGCTGTGTATTCACGAGTGTGGCCGCTGTGTCGCGTAGAGAAGTCTCACAGCAGCCCTCCCGTACTCCAGCCCTCACATTTCCGCCTCCTTTTCTTCCACGTTCTTGAGTGCTGAGTTACAGGCAAGCAAAGCTGGACCAGACATATGCACTAGATGGCCACAGCCTCAGAGCCGAAAGAACATGTTACTAAGAACCCGAACACCCTCTGATGGTCACACTTCAGGTTTGGGAGCCCCATCCAGGACCCTCAGGTCACACTACAGCCTGCTTAGAGGGAAACATTTGTGAGCCTCGGCTGCTAATCAGATGGACTGACTCTCCAAGGCCAGGCTCCTGTCTGCGTGAGAAGACGGTGGCTTGGACCCACAGGACACGACACAGCGCTGCACCTCAAGAGGAACGGAGACGAGGGGCTGAGAGTGATGACTGCCCAGGTGCCGGGCTTGTAGCTCCCACGGGAGTGCTCTTCCATGTGGTTGACGGGAAGTTGTTCGGTGCTGAGGCGGAGCACGTCCCCCGCTGTCTGCTGTGCATGAAGACGCGCTTTAACGTTCTGAAGACTGTCCCTAACCCCTCTTGCCCATCACAACTCTCCAGGCAGGAAAGTTCCCAGCCCAGAGAAGAAGAGACATCCTTTTAAAGGCATGCGCTTCCTGGCAAGCTGCAGTGCCAAGCCTGGCTTTGGATCAGAAAATCCCAGCCGTTAGACGGTTCCTGCCAACAGCTTGGCTGTGAAGGGGTGGAAGAGAAAGGGACAGGGCAGCTACAGGTCCCTGTCTATAGCCTTCCTCCCGTGGAGGCCTGACCTAGCTCACAGCAGAGAATGATGGACACCTCCAGAAGACAAGGCCTCGAACACCTCACAGGCAGAGCAACTGAGCTGGAAGGGAGACAGCGCAAATGGGCTGGAGAGTGTGGATGGGGAGGGAGGAGGCAGAGGGTAGGCCTCCACCTAAGACATCCCACCTCGCTGCACACAGAGCACACACACATTCTCAGACCAATCAAGAAAATGATAATCCCCTAATCAATGCCTGTAATGGAGTGGAGTGTCTCTTCCACGTGTCTCTAATTAAGGATGCTTATTTTCTGCAATACCATTCATCCACATGGCAGTGTCCTTGACTGCTCCCTGCCGAGAGAGGCCAAAGGTGACCACAATCCAACAAAGGCAACAATTTGTGGTGACCAAGACAGACGCCAGGAGGTGGGCCAGAAGTCCATCACCAGCTCTCTGCTGCAAGCACTCTTGTATCGCTCCCCTGCTGCGGACCCCAAGCCTAGAGACAGTCCAGACGCCCTCTGTCCTTAGAGAACACCCAAATGGAGACTGCCTGGAATCCGCTGAGGTTGGACTGTTCCCCAACGTCCACTACCGGGCTGAACGACTAGTTTTCTTTATGTCAGTTGTCTTTTCTGAGCTGAGATGTGGACCACCGGAGGACAAGGGGATGAGAGGAGACTTCATGGTCAGGCATAGTTTGGGAAGTCAGCCATGGAGAACCAACCAGGAGTAGAGCATGCCAGACTTACTGTTGGTTCTGCACAGTTCCCATTGTACCCCAACTCCTAAGCACCTCACCTCACTTAATCAACTATATTGATGAGTGATAGGCAATCTGAGTCTAACCAGATGTGTTAATTACTTTCTATTCCTGCAAAAACAAAACAAAACAAAACAAACAAAAACCACTATGAGCAAGACAACTTACAAAAGAAAATATTTAATTTGGGGGTTCACCATCCCAGAGGGTTAGAATCTGGCCATCATGGAGGGGAGCATGGCAGCAGACAGGCAGGCATGGCGCTGGAGCAGTAGCTGAGAGCTCACACCTGATCCACATGCAGGAGACAGACAGAGCTAACTGGGAATGGTGTGCGCCTGTGAAACTTCAAGGCCCACTCCCAGTGACTCACCTCTTCCAACAAGGACACACCTCCTAATCCTTCCTAAACAGTTCCACCAACTGGGGACCAAGTATTGAAATACATGAGCCTATGGGGGTCATTCTCTTTCAGACCACCACACCAGGGTCACCATGGCTGCACATCAGGATCACACAGGATCCTCATTCCTGAGCCCTCCTATCAGAATGGCAGAGAGCTGAATAGTACTTCCAGTGGCTGTTCAGAAAGGCTCCTGGCTGGTTCTGGTAACAGTCGATGACTCATTCCTTGCTGCTCTGCCCTCCTGTGGGATGACAGCCTCACTTTCACTGAGAAAGGATTCCCCCTAAGGCACTTAGGTGGTATGCAGAACTACCAGGCCAAGTGAGGTGACTGTCCACTTGGGACAGCTGAGAATGGCCAGTCCAGACTCTTGTCCCATCCTTGCAGAAAGTAGCAACCTGGCTACTTCCCCCAGTTCCCGACCCCAAACTTTGGAACTTAGCCCATGAAATAATGTGTGGGCCATCATTGTCGCTCCGGGTGTGGGACCACTGAGATGTGCATTCAGAACTGTCCTCAGCACTAGACATTGACTGCCTTGGTGACTGGAAGGGGACATGGTTACAGCTGAAACAAAGATGGACACAGGTCCCCTCTCATGCTGTTAGCTCCTTACATTAACTTTTCATCCTGTGTCCAAAAAATGAGGCAGAAGCAACTTGAGAGAGGACAAGTTTATTTTGGCTCAGGGTTCAGGGGACCTAAGTCCATCATGCTAAGGAAGGCATGAGGGCTGGAATGGCTTGGTCCATGACAGTGGCACCCTGCGCATCCTAGTAGACCAGGAAGAGAGAAAGTGAGACTGGAAGTGGAGCCAACATTGGTGACACCCATACACACTTCCGGCAGCCACATACCCCCAAATCCCAAAGATGACACAACTTTCCAAGACAGCCCTACCCACTAGAGAGCAAGTGTTTAAACACAGGAGCCCGTGGGGAGTATTTCACTTCCCTAATATCATTTTCAAAATCTTGTTTATAAAAATGGCTAGAGATGAAGGCTCAGCAGTGTAGAGGATGGGTTGCTCTTGCAGAGGACCATAGTTCAGTGGCCAGCACAGGTCAAGTGGCCCAGAACAGCTTGTAACTCCAGCTCCAGGGGATCCAGTACCCTCTTCTGGCCTCCGTGGGTATCTGCACTCATGTGCGCACTCCCACACACAGACACATATACCCATGATTTTAAAGTAAAATAAATTGTTTAAAATAATAATAATTTTTTTTAGAAAGCCACAAGACAGAGTTCCCAGAAAAGAATTGTTCTTGGGGAGCTTGATGCATCCTTTCTGAAGTGTGGCCATCTTCCCAGGGTTGATCCCTAGCCAGCCCTCCCCTTGGACTCTCATTGGTCCCTCTCCAGAATGTCCTCTGGCCAGCTGAGTCTCTTGCCAAGCTTTCTCACTCTCCCCCTGTCTCTTGTAACTTGCCCTCCGCGTCCGATAGCCTGCCCTCTGGCTGTGACGTCAGCATCTTTCCTCAAGTCCGAATGCATTTGCTCCCATCTTCCAGCAACAAGTGGTTGCAGTTTTCATTACCATAAAACCAAAGAAAAAGATGTAGCCAAGAAAATAGATATGTGTCTTCCGCCCCACACTTGGAACATCTTGACATTTAAATCCAATTACCCTTTTCCCTATTCTTGATGAGGAAGTGACATGAAGCTAGAGCTCCATGCTAAATAAATATACCATGACTCCGACTGCTTCCAACTTCCTGGAGCTGACTGGGGGCTTCTGTGATGCCCCGCTCACTGTGGGGGTGTGGGATCATACACTGGCCAGGTTAGAAGTCCCTGTCAGTGATTGCCTGGATGTTTCTCCACAGCATTTGATCTCTGCATTAATTAGGAAAATGGAAGAGATATAGGCATGTAAGGAATCAGGAGTCAGCTGTCATTTACAGCCCCCTTCCCTGGGATTTTGGCAAAATGCCACAAAACAGATGGCCCCAGGTTGGGCAGGATTAAGTGTGTTCTCATATCGCTTTAAAGCCACGGTCCTCTTAGAAGCAAAGAGTAATTGACTCTAAATGAAGCAGAATCCAGCGAGGAGCCCCGGTGCTATTATTCTGCTATAGATATTAGTTCTCTTTTGACTTCTGTGGAGTCAGAGCCTGAGTTCTTTAACAAGTGCACAGACTGTTTCCTGGCTAGAGGGGAGAGAGAGGATGGGGAGTGAGGAAATCACCCCGATTCTTTAAGGCTCTGGGGTCCCATTTCCTCGGACTTCCAGAAGGGCTTCCCAGCAGGGACTGTGTCCACAGCAATCAGGCAGCATCAGCCCCAGCCTCTACATCCTTCAGAAACTCACTGACCATGAGAAACTGTGGGGTTGCCTTCACACATCGCTTCTTTTCCATCTGCAGAATGAGGTAGAGCGAGCAAAAAAATGTAAGTTCATGGAGATTTAGAGACACATTTTAGTTCCAAGCAACCCACCTCTCCCTCTCCCTGCTCCCTCCATCTCCCTGGCCGCTTCTGGCCCCCAGTGACTCTCCCTGCTCTGATGGAGTATTTACCGTAGGACACTTCACCACACTTCACCGTGACTCTAGAGCCCCACCTGGACTTCAGTCATCCCCTGGAAATCACAGATGCGAGAGTCCTCTCCGTCCCTCCCTCCTTCCCTCCCCCCCTCCTTTCCTCTCATCATGGCCGAGTGACTGTTTATCTTGCTTCTCAGAGGCTCTGATCAGACCCAGATACCCAGTGTTTGCTGCTCCTTCACCCCGTTCTGCACTGGTTCTATCCTGTGTGCCTGGAGTTCTTTTGTTGAACTTCAGGTGGGTCAAGTCACAGCAGGAGGCCTGGATGGTGCTCTGAATGGTGGCTGGGAGAGCTGGGGAGTGTAACTTTTGTGTTGAATGGGAATTTAGAATTTATTCCACGCACCCCAGAACATTCCCTCCCGTTCACATGTGCTCACCGACTTTTAAGAATCACCTTGGTTCTTCTGACATTCCCTGATGCCAGGTGTGAGGTGAAAATAAAATCTCATCTGTGATGTCTCATCTCTGATGTCTCTCCAAAGAGATCTCTGATGGGGGCCTTGGCTGGCAAACAAGGGCATCGTGAAGAATCAGACAAGCCCCACTATGATCCCCAGGAATCACGTGGCAGGAGGGGACTGAGTCCTATGGGTTATCCCTTTGACCGCCACTGTGTGCTGTGGCACATGTGCACGCGCGCGCGCGCGCACACACACACACATACACAGAGTAAATAAATAAATATGTAAAATAAGGTATTTTAGTCTGGAGTGTTAACTTAGCTGGCAAAGTGCTTGCCACACAAGCCTGAGAACATGAGTTTGGTCCCCGGAACCCACATTAAAAAATATTGGACATAGTGGCATGGACTTGTAACCTCAGCCCTGGGGAGGTGGAGACAGGCAGCTCTCTGGCCAGCCTAGTCTATTCAATGAGCTTCAAGCCAGTAAGACGCCCTGGAGAGAGAGAGAGAGAGAGAGAGAGAGAGAGAGAGAGAGAGAGAGAGAGAGAGAGAGAGAGAGAGGAAGGAAGGGAAGGATCCCACCAAGGTGGACAGACTTCCTGACAAACCACACACAAGGTTGACCTCTGACCTCCACATGCATCTGCACACACAAGGACACACACTAACAGTTCGCTGGGGTGGCCGCTAGTCAACCTGGGATTAGACGGGAGCATGAGCCTGGGCTGGTACCTTCCGGAAACCCTTAAGAGCTTGGAGTCGAAAACCTCAGGCTTGCTCACAGGCAAACCTCGAACCCCTCGCCCCTCACTGTGGGCCGTGAGATTCCCTAGCAGAAGTTCCCAGTCCCTACAGGCGAGAAGACCTCTTCAGGCCCTACCTGGCAGGCCCCTCGTGCTGTTTCTTAAATACGAAGCATCCATCCCAAACTCTTGCACTGAACACCTGGTTCCTAACTGGTGACGCTATAGTGACACACTAGAGACTTTAGAAAGTGGGGCCTTGATGGAAGAGGTCAGGTTCTGAGGACGGGTCTCTTTATCTAGTCTCTTCTTTGGCCTCCACTTGCTGAGGGGAAGAACCACCCCACTACACAGGCTCCCTCCACCATCAGCTCAGAGGTGGGGAGCCAACTTACCATGGGCTGAGTCCTCTGAAACCATGCCCTCCTTTTAAGTTGTTCGTGGTGGGTATTTCATCAGAACCATACACAAATGATTGATATACCTGGGGCTAGAACCCAGCAAGGAGTCTCTCTCTGTCTCTCTGTCTCTGTCTCTGTCTCTGTCTCTCTCTCTCTCTCTCTCACACACACACACACACACACACACACACACACACACACATTCACCACTTGAATAAGTCTAGGGCCCCTGGAGTCTATCCCATGCCCATCCATCTGTCTTCCTCACTAGAGACTGAAGATCCCTAGAGAAAAATTATTTTTACATCAGCCCCCAGAACTGGCACTGCACAGCATGATGTATGGACATCTTGGCTTCTGAACAAATAGGACCACAAAGAACTGTCCACAGTGTCGAGGCTTGAGGCTTAATGACCAAAGGAAGGACAGACTTCATATCTTCCACTTCCATAGGCCTGCTGTGCCAGAGATAAGGACCTGGGGTCAGGTAGACCCTGAAGGGGAGGTGGGGCTGGAAGACGCTACGTGGGCAGCTGTTGGTGGTCCTGAAAGCAGCCTCCAGCTTCCAGTTGATGGGCTGTGACCTTGGGATCTGTGGTGACTGCGAAGCCTGGGGTGGATTGCCTCTTTACCGGTTATTTTGTTTCTGACCTCTGCCAGAATGTCCCCTTCTGCTGCCAATCATGATCCTAAGTCAACTCTGCTTGTCCCCAGCTCCTGAGATAGGCTTGGTGACCATCCTACCTGTGGTGTGTTAGGCTTTCTGCAATAGTGGACTCTGCAGATGAGAGGGCTCATTAGGAGGTGGCTAGGGGCTGGATCTGTGGATCAGAGGGTACAATGCTTGTCTGTCATGTACAAAGCCCTGGGTTCAATCCCCAGCTCCACATAAACTGGACAGTACACATCTGAAATCCAACACTCCGAAGGGAGAGGCAGAAGGATTGAGTTCTAGGGCATCCTCAGCTACATAGTTAGTTTGAGACCAGCCTGAGCTTTGGGAGACTCCATATCAAAAGGGGATTTATTAAAATAATAACAATAACAACTGAGCAGGTGTGGTGGCCCGTGCCTGTAATCTACTACCTGGGAAACTAAGAAGGGAGGCCAGACCCTGCCTCAAAACACCAAAAAAATGAACTCTAGAAATGTTTTCTGTCTACACTAAATAAATAAATAAATAAATAAATAAATAAATAAATAAATAAATAATAAATAAATGTTTAAAGATGAAATGCAAAGGATCACTTTCTAAGCCTTTATCATACATTCCCTACTATGATGTACTCTCAGGCCAAGGGCATGGAGGCTCTGCTGGTTATCACAGACATCCATTGTGATTGTACCTCCAGGGACAGAGGAGAAGTGACCACCGTGAGTCCATCATGAGCCAGACAGGGACCACTTATCACCTGCTCAGCCAAGGGCTTCCAGGGGCCAAATAACCAGGTATAAATCTCAGTTTGGACCAAAAGTCTAGGAATGATTGACTGTCCCCTTTTCTCCAGTGTACAGGTACCCCAAATGTGACAGCAGGTCCCTGGGGAGGGATTGGGGAGGCATCACTGCGCATTTCCATGATGTTGGGGATCTGCTCTCTCTGTCTCTCTCTGTCTCTGTCTCTCTGTCTCTGTCTCTCTCTCTCTCTTGATAGCTGAGTTCTGGATCTGGGACACGGCTTGTGCCTTTTTATCAGGAGGTCTGCTCTCTGGCTCCTGGCATCCCTCCTTGATTTCTTTTCGGTGTGTATATTGACAATACCGTCTCTGTGGGTTACCTGTCTCTCTTATCCTTGGAAATGCCATGTTCTATTACCCATCTGTAGGCGAGTCCCCGGGGCTGACATTAGGATGAGTGTGCACTTTGAATATCATGGCCACGCATCACCATTTGACTTTGATTGTTCCAGAACCCTGTCCTTCCCATCAGTCAGGGATCCGAGTCTCTAATGCATCTTTGACTTTCATCCTTGAACCTGTCTTAGATGCTAGCACTTCACTAAAAGGAGGATACTGCCAGGTCTCCCACAAACACACTCAGCACAGTCTGCGGCATGTCCCAATGTGAAAAGGTCATCTCTGGCAGTCCTCTGCTCTTCGGCTGCCATCTGTAACAGCAGTTGGATCATCGCTGCTGGCTTGCTTTCCTCATGCTTTTTACAACCACCCTGGTAGCATCTTTCCTGGGATCCGTTCCACATGCTTAAAGCCCGTCTCCCAGGAGAGTGCTCCTCTGTAAATCTTTCTTCCATAGCCAGCTTCACGGTCTGTTCTCCCACTGAGCACCCTCCCCAGTAAGTCCGACTCTCACAGTTCCTGACGTGCCTGTTTTCTGGATCTCTCTCCTCTCTTGGGGCATCATTTCTTACTTCCTTAGCAAACCCAGCAATTCCCCAGTGAGGGTGCAGCTGCTGGTTCTGGGGGGGGTGGTGCGGGCAGACCTTAAGGAGGACACTTGTTCTTGTCCAGCAGAGAGACCTGTGACTATAAGCCTGTGCTACAGGAGGCTGGGATGCTTCTGAAGCCCAGAGGACTCTGGAAAGTCTGGGAACTTGTCCAAGTCTCAGTCCTGATGTCCCAGTTCATTTTTCTGGGTCTCATTCCTTATTAGTCAGGTGCTGGACCTAACTTAGAATAAGTTTTAGGAAGCATGCTAGCTAGTTTTCTCTCTCTCTCTTCCCTCTCTGTCTCCCGCCTTCTCTCTCTCCCCCTACTCTGTCTCTATCTTTTGTTGTTTCTCGTTCTTTCCCTCTTCCTCTCCTAAGTATTAGTCCACAAGTGCTCTGCTGCTGAGCATTACCATCCCTCACTGGGGGATTCTAGGCAGGGGCTCTACCACTGAGCCACACCCCAGCCCCTCACTGGGGGATTCTAGGCAGGGGCTCTACCACTGAGCCACACCCCCAGTCCCTCACTGGGGGATTCTAGGCAGGGACTCTACCACTGAGCCCAGTTGAGAATTTCTCTATAGGCTTCCAAAGAGGCAGTCAGTAGCCAACTCAAAGTCCCCAAGTTACCATGGGCCTCACACTCTTTAACTTTTGGACACACTTTTGTATACACTAGAGTATTTCCTTCCACTGGTGTGCACGCTTCATTCACCATCAGTACACCTTTTTAACAGCTGCATTAGTGTGTCCTCCTACCACAGCGGGCTGCCCATGCTTACCTGGTACAGTCCTCCTTGCTGGCTGGTTGGTGGGAAATCAACCCTTCTACCTTTCATCTTAGCATGTGCTGAGGGAGGACCCCGAGGACATTAGAAAGTGTGCCAGGCAGGCAGAGCAGGAAGATGGAGGTGGGAGTGACCTTGGAGCACAGTCCTATGGGGTAGAGAAGGCAGCAGGAATTGAAAGAGGCACGATGAGGGCTGTGATTTAGTCAGCCAATCCCACAAGGCGCTCTGGAGCTGACATGGCTTCGAAGCTGTGTCCTGACTGATGGAAAGGGGGGGGGGGGGCGGCAAACTCCACTAGAATCAGTGGTGGGATGCAGGCAGCCCCAGGGAGGGAGTTGCAACCTTGGGCGAGGTGACTTCCTGCAGCTGAGAGCAGTCTCTGTGGAGACTCAGCTTTGAGCGGCCTGGCTGGGCTGCCACAGTCTTGTCTGGGCTCAGCCTCCCATCCCTGACTCCAGTGCCCGCCCCAGTCCAGGCTCTCCATATGCAAAGGACAAGAACTGTCTGGCGATTACTTTTTGGGAACGCAAACTTCATGGAGGCAATGTTTCTACATTGCCTGGCTTATTCAAAGGTCACTGAAAACGAATGGTACCTGACATTATTGGAACTGCTTCCTTTTCAGATTCACGAAAGCATTCCAAGGGCTGCCATTTGGTTCTGAGATACAAGCAAGATTTCTGCAAAATCAAAATAGCATAAAAAATAAAAAAAATAAAACAACCTGGCACTTTAACATTCTAAAATATGTTCATACCACTTTCTGTCGATTTAATTAAGATATAATATGTAAACAAGAAAACACACACATTGTAAGTGAGCTTTGACAAACAGGTACCATCTTAATGGAGACACATGGTATTTTCCTCACTCCAGAATATCCGTCCCCTGCCCCTTGTCTCTGCTCACTCGGATCCCCACCTCTACCCCCAGGGTAGCCATTGATCTGATCCCATCACCAGAAATTATTTTGGCCTGTTCTGGAATTCCATGTCAGAAAGATCTTTTAGCGAGTTCTTTACTTCTTTGCCAGTGAGAGCATCTTTGCTGGCTTGCATCTCAGTAAAGAGTTCATTGTATGGATGTGCTGCCATTCCCGGAGCCTCTCATCTGTCGTGGACCTCTTAGTGGCACCGTGTTCAGGGACCAGGACAGTGTTGGGCCTAGTGGGGTTCAGGCAGGAAGAGTAGGTGGTCTCTGTGGATCAGAATCACAAACGTCACTCGACTCCAGCATCACATAGCTCCCAAGAAACTCCAAGGAAACAATCCCAGCAAATGACGGGTGCCTTTCACTATTCTATCAAGTGCTCCACGCGTTTTCTTTGGCTGTGTCCACTGAGCTACATTCATTCTCCTTTTTTAATTCAGGGTCCTAGTCACTGAGAGACAGGCAAACACAGCAATCTGTTTGGGCACATGCATGTCAAACGGACTATATATCATGACATCAGACATTTTGAGAAAATTGCTTTTCCACCCTGAATGCCAAGTCATAAATAATTTCAGGGTAAGAAGAGTTCTGGTAAGCATGTGTTTGACTCCAAGGAATGGTCTGTAAATACTGCAAGCCATCGAATAAAAAATGAGTGGGCGGGCAGATTTGTGGGGGTCCCTTCCAATCTGGACCTGGCTATAACTTATGTTACTAGAAGCTTCAGGAACTTTATCCAGGTCGACTTTAACAGGGGTGTGTGCCCGTCCCCCACCACTAGGAGTGTGGCTAGACGCTGAGGTGTTCACAGCTGTATCCATAATCACAGATTTGACCTCCTTAGACAGCAGCTGGCGACACTTCCCCCTGGAAATCACCTGACACTGTTCACATGCTCGTAAACCCCTTCTATGGGGTGGGGGTGGGGAAGAAACAAAGGCTGCTGTTTGTAGTGTTTGCCAATTTCTGTGGTGTAAATATTTCTACTGAATCCAATTCTAAGGTTTCCATGTTGAAAAGTTATTATTATTTTTTAGCTGCTTAGAAGTATAACATAGTGTTGGTGATTTAGCCCAGTGATAGAGCAAGGTCCTGGGTTCGATCCTCAACTCAAAAAAAAAAGTATAACATGGAAAATAATAAGCTCAGAAAGGAAGCAAGAAATGGGGCCTTGGGGATGTAGCTCAGCTGGTGGAGTGTTCGCCTGCCATACACAAAACCCTAGGTTCAATCCCTAGCACCCCACAAACCTGGCATGCTGGCATACCCTGTAATCCCAGCACTCAGGAGGTGGAAACAGGAGAATCAGAAGTTCAAGGATCCTCAGCTACAGGGCAAGCTTGAGGATAGCCTGGGATACATGAGACCTTGTCTTGGGAAAATAAAAGGGAAGTGGCCCTCCAAGAGGACACCGAAGGAACTGCAGAGGCGTTGGTCGATTTTAGCATCTTCTGCCAGGTGGTGAATCCTTGGGTGTTTGTGTTGCTGTGGTTATTTCTTTATTTTAGTAGCGCTGGGCATGGAACCGGGGCTTCATGCATCCTAGACAAGGACTCGATCACTGAGCCACACCCTCACTCTGGCTGTTAGTCTTCATAGTATCAATATTATACGTGACATGTTTTTTCTTGCATGAATGAAATATTTCTTGTTGAAAAACCTTCCGAGGGAGCCTTGGGAGCTTTGAAGTTGCTTTCACAGCACACTCGGGTAGGATTTTGCTGCAGGCTGTGGAAGCATCCCTTTTCCTCGTGCATGCCGTTGCCCCGCAACGGAGTCTGTTACAGAAAATGGAAGAAAAATGGAAAAGCCCTTTAACCTGTCCATGAGCTGCAGGACCTGAGGTCTGCACGGGACGAAGTGCTCTGTAAAGACCAGAGCGTTGAGAGGGCCGGTTCAGGGAGGTGGTACGGTTGGGGACTGAGAGGCTCAAAGACCAGCCAGAGGGCTTAGGGCTGAGGGGACCCTGGGAAAGCAGGGGCTCTCTCTCCAACAAGGAAAGATCTGGAAATTTGAAAGAGTTGGGGAGGGTAGGAGGATGAGGGTCACTGAGGGTGTGGCTGACAGACAGCCACCAGGAATGGGAGGATGTGTTTTGGGGCATGGCCCACCTCTTGCCTTAATAGGTTTATAGCTGAGTTCAGTTTCTCTGGGGTTCAAAATCCCCTTTCCCAGTGACGGTGTTCACTGAGACAAACTGCGATCTTTTCTATTCTTCTCTCATCAGGTCACACCCTCCCCAGGACCACAGGGGCTGGACCCAAGGAGGAGCCACACAGGCGAGCCCTTCCCTGGGTCCCAGGCCCCCAGATCTTCACTGCCCATCCTCAGGCTGCAGGCCAGGCTATCTCACACCCACCAGCAGCCAAGCCACTGGGGGCCACCTTAGCATCCTCACCAGTGGGTCAGCTTGAGTCTCTCTCTAGAAAGGACCAAATTTGGCAGAAGTCAAAATGTTCCATAATTGTGTTCACCAAAGCCTTGGGGTTCTCCCAGGAGACCCTATGAATCAAGATAGGGGAGAGACACTAGAGGGAATTGGCTAGAGCCCAGGGTGCCTGATGCCCCTTAAACAGGGCCCCCTCCTCCAGGCTGGCACCGGCGTACTCTGCCAGCCAGGTGGGGAGTGCCTGAAGATTTCATTATGAGCTCAGATTACTATCGAGTTCCAGGGGATGCGATGAAGTTGTGAACTCTCCTTTAATAAGGATCCCATTTCCTCTTGCGTTGGCTCTTTTTATAACAGATGCCTTACTGAAAATGGAACAAGATGGAAAAGACAAAACAGCAAGTCATTAACTTGGCCAGCAAGCCTTCCCCAGCAGATGTGAGGGATGGTGATGGGCAGGGCACCCAGGTCCCCAGCCCCACCCACCACACCCTCACCAGAGCCAGCTGCTGGGCTGCTGTAAGCAACGCCATCTGCTCGTGCTCCGATGCAGCTCTGCCCCTCTGTGCTGAGGAAGCATGGAGCCTCCCTCCTGCTGTGCCATAACTGATGACCATTTTTCTCCAATTAAACTGAAATTGAAGGATCCTCAGACTTAGACGCCCAAGTAAAATAATTAGTGCTTAAAATGTTAATTGTGCTCAGATGTGCACATGCCCGCGGAAGCAATCTGTAAGCCAGCAGGCAGGTAGGTAGTCCCCCACACCCTGCCCCCACCAAACAAGCTGGCCTCCCCCAGGGACCCTGGTGTGGGCTGCCCAGGGCAGGACCCTGAACTCACTCTGACAGTGTGACTTGGGAGGGGTCATATTGAGAGACCTACCGTGGCCCTCTCCTGTCCCCAAACTCCCATTCTACCCTCTCTGTGGCCAATCCACTCTTCCCTGGACACTGACAGACGGTGGTGGCTCACGGCTAACCCAAAGCACCAAGTCAGACGTGGTCTAGACCTCAGCTCTGCAACCCACCAGGCCAGCAATGTGGACAATAGTGAGACATCCAGCGCCCTTCAAATGGGGATTGTGAAAGCAAACCATCAACATCGCTAGCGAACACTGTTTTCCCTACCCCGTGTCTCTCCCTAGCTCAGAACTTGGCACACACCAGTTCCCCAAAGAGTAACTACAGAATTGGTGTTCCCCTCCACCATGACTGGGAATGGTAAGTGGGAGTGGGAGCAATATTCTTTACTGTAGGCAGTGAAGGGTTCCCGCCTAGCTATTCCGTGCCAGCTCACCCTGTCTCCTACTTGCTCAGGACTTGGATACTCTACAGAGGCCACCTGAGCCCCAGGAGGAAGGGATGTGGGGGTCTTCCACACTAACCACAGTCCCTCCAACCTGCCTACTGCTGGCTGTGTGCAAAGGAACTCACTTCCACTGGGACTTTGCATGTATGGTGCGTTGCCCACACGTGAGCCCAGCTTCCATCTCCACAGAGACAGCAGGCCTGAGAGGTTTCGCGTTCTTTGTGCTGTGTGTCCCAAGGAAACACGCTTAGGTATTCTGTGTCCCCTGACCCACCACATAATAAGATTCCTTCATCTCTTGTTGTCATGGGAAATATATATTAACTGATTAATATTAATGTGATGGCTGATTAATATTAATATCTGAGGCGATTCATACTTCCAAGCACCGATGTTGATGAGTGTGGCCGAGCCCAGACAGCTGTCGAGCTGATGGCTCCCCAGGGAGAGGACAGAAGCCAAGAATGCCCCTTCCCTCCACTGCTGTTTGTTATGGACACACTGTCATTAGCCGCGTCTGTCAGGGCCGGCAAGGAAGTGTGTTTGGACTCTGATTGTGGCAATTAAAATCCTTGCCATCCAAGACAGCGCATTTTATCATTTAAATAACATTTTACATTCTCCTAACATATTTCGCCAGCAACATTGTTAAGTTCAGTGATAAAAGGTTATTTTTTGCTTTTGAAGTTGAAATACGTTACCATTATCCCTTATCTGCCTGGAATTAGGAAGGTTTTCCGAACTTGATGTTCAGAAGGTTTCATTATCAAAATTTGCCAGACTTTACAAAGCAAACAGCACCTCTCCTTTTTCTACCTGTTTTAATCAAAGATGGATGGAAGCTTTGTATTCTGACGTTGGGGGTTGTTTGCAGAGGAAAAAGGACAATGATGTCCTTCCCAGGAGCCAGGCTTCTATACTGAGAGCTCACGCAGGTCAGTGGCGACCCGAGCTCCCCTTTCATTCGGCACCACTGCCGTCCAAGTCCTATGTGCTGGCCCTGAGCATCCTGGAGGCTGAAAAGGTCGAGGGGGCGTTGAGCTTCCTGTACTCAATTCTATGGGGACACCACAGCCAGAGGCAGTACCTTCAGCCAGGAGAAGGAGACCAAAGCCTGCCTGTGGCTGGATAGTTAGTGCCACATGCCGGCCCCTGCTATGGGCCTTCTGCTACCTGCCCTGGCTGGGTCTCCATCTGAAATCTTTTTCTTAAAGCTTGGAACACTACCCGCCATCCATCTCCATCCCTCACCATCGCTATCAACATACCATGCACACACTGTCACACACACACACACACACACACACACACACACACACACACACACGCACACACACGCTCCCATGTGCCTCCATGTACCATCCTCACCATCCCACCTGCCATCAACATGCTGTCCTGGGCTTCTCCCCATTATCCATGCTTCCCTGCGTCCCTGATCCGTGCCAGCACCTCACTGTATTTTCTGACAAATACCGCCCAGAAACAAGAGAGGAAAGATTGCCTTGAGTTCACAGTCCGGGAGACTTCGCTCCATCTAGAGGAAAGGCACAGCAACTGTCTATGGCAGCAGGAGTGTGAGGCTGTTCACATCATGGGAGACCAGGAAACAGGAAACAGGTCAGAACCAGGGCGGTATAACATCCAAAAGCCTACCCCTCGTGGCCTGGATCCGCCAGCCGTGACCTAACTCCCTAAAGCCTGCAAAATATAGCATTACCTGCTCAGGAACAAGTACCACAAACATGAGCCTGTGTGAGACATTTCAGATTCACATCCTAACACACACGCCTTGTAATGGATCACTGTCCCCAGTGCCCGACACCCCTGGGTCATCCTGGACTGGGTCCTCTTATGGGCACCCTGACCTTGCTGTGATATTCTAGGCCATGGGAGAGTCTTCCAAGGGTAAATCCAGCAGCTGTGCTGTGCATGGCTGAGTCAGTTTTAGCCTGTAACTGGACCCCAATTGTTCCTCCCTCCCATCCACTTTCCCTCTATCTTGCCGCCAGGATGAGGATTAGTTCTACCCATGAGGAGCTACATACTCTCCCAGACTTCTGGCCAGAGACCGCTGGATTCTCTCCAGAGCTGTCATGAAGTGAACCTTGAAGTTGACCTTGGCTCCTCGGAGCTCTCGCTCTGCAGGGCAAGGGCCTAGTTTCCAAGGAGCGTTTTCTGCCCATCATTTGAGACAGAAGTCAGCCTAGGGCCACCCTGTCTGCAGCCTGTCACTCTCCCAGGGAGCTGAGCCCTGCAGAGCCATCCAGCCTGGCCCATCTCTGCATCTCTCACTCAGGGATACAGTAGGGCATCTGGCTCAGGATGCCATCATCGACCATCCATCACTACAAGCTACTCCTTGGAGCTCAGGGGATTTCTGGCTTCTCTAAATCCTTCTCTGAAATCCTTTCTCCCCAAAGACTCAAGCATCAGAAGCCCTCTGGTGCCCCAGCCAAACTAGCTGCTACCTGATACCAACGGTGTCCGGTGGTCACCCTGTGACTCATGCACATTGCTACCCAGCAGCCCCACTCCCACCCTCAGTACCCCAGTCTGCTCCCAAACAAACAGCAAACACGCTAGTCGCAGCTGGAAGCATCCTTGGCGTGATTTATTGCCATCGTTCCAATATTTTGTTTGGAGCAGTAAACCTTTGGATATAAATCAAGTCATTAGAAGGAATGACGTTTAATCCTGCAGAAGGTGCCTCGATGGGCAAAGCAGCTCAAAAGTCATTAATTCTTGAGCAGATGGCCCACCCACCCCCTCCTCAACCCTCACCATACCCAGGTGTGGAAGGCCAAAGACACAGCCTAGCCGCTTTTGTTTCCTTGAGTGACATGTGTCACAACCACAAAGAAGGACCCCAGATATCTGCTTGGTGAGCTTCTCTAGGGTCTTCCTTTCTCCAGAAACACAGCCAGGAGGGACCACCTCTGTGCCTGTCACTTCGTCCTTAGGGCAGCTGTGATGGTTGGATTTCACAGGAGCCAGGGGAAGAGCTCAGATTATCTTGAAGCGTCTCTTCATAGTGACCTCAGCCACCCTATGGGTGGTCATTACATGACGACCAAGTGCTGTTTGACAGGCCTAAATGTCCAGCCCCAGTGCACTCAAGGCAAAGAAAGGCTGAGCTGTGGGAGGAGCATTCAGTTGCCCCATTACCCCAACCCAGCCAGACACTGGAATCAGGGTCCTTGCACATCCTGTCTCCACATGGAACTGGGGATAGAGCTGGGAGCATCTTCGTTGAGGGAGTTCCTGAGAAGACTGCCAGATTCTAAGTGTGAACGTTCTGGATGACAGTCTATTGTTCTTGTGCTGGGTCAGTGCTAACGAGGGTGACATGTGACGATGCTGGGTGTCACAGGGCTGGATTGTGTGGTTTCTCTGCTGCCTCCAAAGCTAAGGTGGGAGATGGGCGTGGTGGCTCATGTCTGTAATCCCAGCACTCAAGAGGCTGTCCATAAGTTTGAAGGTAGCCTGGGCTACAGAGTGAGTCTGCCCCCCTAAAAATAGATAGATGATAGATAGATGGATGGATGGGTGGATGGATAGATAGGTAGGGAGAGAGAGAGAGATAGAGACAGAGAGACAGAGAGAGGATAAAATAGAAGAATGAAATCAAGCTGGGGTGTACAGTCCTAAACTGGATACTGGGTACTAGTATACCCAGCCTCTACTGTTTATAGATAAAGGGATCTGCATTCAGGTAGTATTCAGATCTGCATCCAGGTGTGGGGTAACCCAACATCAGTCTTCAGGCTTACTGATTCCTTCATCCCTGACAGAATTTGCTCTGTGGAGGATCGGACTGTTTGTTGGAGGCTCCCCTCCCCCTCCTCATGCTCACCCTGACTCACCAAGCCTTCCATTATTCAACAAAATCTCCCCTCCCGACTCCTCTCCTCCTGAGTTCATGACCTGTCATTTCCCATCCATACCATGACGTCAATCCTAATCCATTTCCACCTCCCTCTTCCCTCACTCACATCAGGCTGCTTCTGAGGCGCCCCAAGAATGACCTCTGAGTATGTAACCCTTAGAAACCCGTTCCTTACTTTCTTAGCCTTGTAGTCTGGGCCCAAGGAACAGTCAACTGTCTTGGCCCAGGTTCAACAGTGCATGGGGCCTGTGGGGCTAAACGTGAGCGCGGGGTGTGTAGAGCGCTTAGCCCCGCTGGTGACATGGCTACTCTTCGCTGCCTGGGATGGTCTGCGGCCAGATGCCTGGTTCACTTATCTCACAGGCTGGATGAGGTTTCCAGGGAGACAACTTCAAGGAACTGCATACAGTGAGCTGGGCTGGGCAGAGCCAAGGTTGGCCATCACAAAAACAGAGGTGGGCTCTTGCCAGACACACAGGGAAGGTGGTGTCTCCATAGGCAGCCGCTGCCAAACCCATTGTTCAGATCTGTATTCTGAGGTCTTACCTGCTCTCCTATACATTCAGACCAGAGGCCTCCTGGCTGACTCTTGCCACAGTCCTTGGCTGCACCTGACTCCAAGTCAAAGGCATTTCCTTTCCAAATGTGAACTGTAGCTATTAAAAAAAAAAAAAAAGATTTATTTATTTATTATGTATACAGCATGTATGATTGCAGGCCAGAAGAGGGCACCAGATCTCATCACAGGTGGTTGTGAGCCACCATAGGGTTGCTGGGAACTGAACTCAGGTCCTCTGGAAGAGCAGCCAGTGCTCTTAACCTCTGAGCCACCTCTCCAGCCCCCCCCTTTTTTTTTTTTTTTTTGTGTGTGTGTGTGTGTGTGTGTGTGTGTGTGTGTGTGTGTGTGTGTGTGTGTGAACTGTAGCTATTAGCAGGGAACAGCTATGCTGATCCCTCCCTGCTTCCCCCTGGAGTGGTTCGGGGACCTCTTGGCCTTGTCTTAGCAATCCAGTCTGTCACTGGACACCAGCATGACCTCCGGAAGACAGAGGTCCCAGTGTTCAAGTGCTGGACGCATGGGAGGGCCCTGGTAGTGTAGCTGCCTACCCATCCTGCTGGAGTCAGGATGGGGAGACTCGGGGACACATCTGGACAGAGCAGTGCTCAGTGTTGGCCACCAGTACACAGCCACCGAGGATCAGACCCACCTCTGAGCCCCTGGAAAGGCCCCGGGTGATTCTGAGAGTGGCATGGGGTGGGGTGCCTCCCTCAGGACAGAGTGGCCTGTAAGGGACGAGGCCCACTTTAAAGAAGCATGCGCTAAGATGGATTTGCTTTTGTGGCTCTTCAGGGTATCACAGACGGCAGCTGTGACAGGTCTGACAGCCACAGGCCAGCTCAGTAATTGACACTGCCACCGGAACGACACATCCAGAGGCCAGCCAGAGCTGGAGAGATTGTTATCTTCCGGTCAGGCCACCACAGTAATGAGGCCGCCCCACTGACTGCCTCTGAAGGCCAGTAAGGGAGACAGTGAACACACCCGTCCTTGAGTGGTGGCCAACACGGTCTGGGCCAGCCGATGCCGGGTCACTGTGCAGCCTCTCCGTGGAGCCCTCTCAGGCTCCAGTTCCTAGGCGATCCCCTTATTTTTATTCCCTGGGACTCTATAGTAAGGGTTCACTATTTTTTAAACCGAACTTAGCCCTTCGTGCTGAGATGACAGGAGAGCAGTCACCAGGTACCTGTTCTATACGCAGTCACATTCACCCTACTTGGTTTGATTTTTAATTTGGTTTTTTCACACAGTCTCATGGAGCTGGCCCCGGAACTCACTATGTAGCTGAGATTATCCCGTTGCCCTACCCCCACTTCCCAAGTACTAAGATGATAGGTGTGTGACGTCACACCCAGCTCCATCATTCCATTGGATCCACTGGGCACAGCCCCATGCAGCTACGATTCCCAGGCCCAGCACCTCCATCCTGTTTTCTTGACCCTCCTGTCACTCTGGTAAGAGCTAGTTTTATACACACACACACACACACACACACACACACACACACACACACACACACCCAGAGCACCATCGAGAAATGGGCTCCTGGACATGAATGCCTATCCGACCCCAGCTCATCCCCTCCTTCCCCACGCTTCCTGTCCTTACACTTGGGAAGCCCATAAGCACCCCAAACTCTAGTGGAACTTGTTCCCTCTCAACAAAACACACCAGAGTCCAATTTAACACTCAAGCCAGAAACCAGAAGCTGCCTCTCTCCACTCCCGGCCAACCCCCATGTCCTGCTGGTACCCATGTGAGTTGGAGCCAGGTTTGGCCAGCCTAGGAGGGCCTTCCTCCACGGGAAGAAGTTTTTGAACGTTGGGCCCCTCAGCCCCTCCTTCCCCACTTCCTTTTTTCTTTTTCTTTTCTTTTTTTTTTTTTTAATGGTGGCACACACGCCTTTAATCCTAGCATTCCAGAGGCAGAGATCTGTCTGGATCTCTGTGAGTTCAAAGCCACACTGGAATCAGCCAGGCATGGTAACAAGAGCCTTTAATCCCAGGAAGTCATGGCAGGAAGCAGAAAGGTATTTAAGGCGTGAGGACTAGGAACCCCACTTTCTTTTACTATCCTTTGGGCCAGGCCTTGGGTGCCTCTCCCGGTCAGGGCAGCTTTGCCTGGGGGAACTTGCTGTTCTGTTTTCACCCCTCATCACACAGTGATCCTTGAGTTCACAACCGCCCAGAGCTGAGGTTTGAACCCTGGGGGATAGAGTCTGGTGCCTTTAGGACCGTGAAGCCCTTTGCTTGCTGGACCCTTCCAATCTTTTCAGTCCTGCCTTTCCTTCAGTCTCTGCATCCCTGCCTTCCCCCCACCCCCACCCCGAGCCTGGCTCCCTTCACCCCTGAGCCTGGCTTCCTTCGCCCTGTGAGCCTGTCTCCCTTCACCCCTGAGCCTGGCTCCCTTCACCCCTGAGCCTGTCTCCCTTCACCCCTGAGCCTGGCTCCCTTCACTCCTGAGCCTGGCTCCCTTCACTCCTGAGCCTGGCTCCCTTCACCCCTGAGCCTGTCTCCCTTCACCCCTGAGCCTGGCTCCCTTCACCCTGTGAGCCTGGCACCCTTCACCCTGTGAGCCTGGCTCCCTTCACCCCTGAGCCTGGCTCCCTTCACCCCTGAGCCTGGCTCCCTTCACCCCTGAGCCTGGCTCTCATGAGGCAGAGCCGCTGAGCTCTGCCAGGAATGTCCACATTCATTCCCTTCAGATGCCAGCTGCCGTCCCCTCTTCTTGGCCGGCCAGCCCTCCCTGCTGCAGCCTCCGGTCCTACAAGCACATGTAGAGTCCCTTATTCCTGCCTTCCCTCCTAACTGGGCTGAAGACTTCGTGAGTTTGACCGAACTGTCCCTTTCCTGGCTAAGACACCGTCACCAATGGCAGCGCACAGCCTGGCCCGTCTAGGTACTCAGTCCACGTTGAGTGGGTGAGCACATGGTGGTCTAGCACGGTACTCTGATGGGGTGGCCAGAGGGCCAGTTGTCTGAGGGGCTGCCAGTGTGGGAGGCAGAAATAGGCGCTCCAGGGGCCACGTGGTGTCCCCCGTGGGCGTCATGAAGTTCGTTCTGCTTGCCTCCTACACCATCTACCAGCTCCCACCTGTCTTCCAGGTGGGCATTCAAGAGCACCTGAAGGACAGACAGGGCACACCTTGTGCTAAGTCATGTGTGTAGACTCTGAGACCAGCAGGGATGGGGACTCAGGTGCCCCCTACCCTGCACATGCCACATCACATCGCAGAAAGCTCCCTGTGGAGAACCCATGTACAGTGTGGCACACCTCTTTGCCATGCATGACATTGGACCATAAGACATGTGAATGGAATCTCATCAGTACACAAACTGAAGTAGTGACTATGTGTGTGCTGGGACCCCACACATACCCCAGACACAGTGGGAACCACCTACATACTATAGACAAAGAAGCGCTTCGAAGCTGGCGTTCAGAGCCTCTCCCTGTAGCTGGGCAGGGCATCTGGAGGAGTGATATGTTTATGGCTTCCATCCCCCACCAAGTGATGGGCAGGTGGCTGGTTGTGGGGTCTGGTGGGGCAGCTGCTGGGTTCACAGACCAGCCAAGCTTCTAGCTGGTTGACTGACAGACAGCTTTTACAGGCCAGTCTTTGACAGTTCCGAGGGAATTCACAGCCCAGGCTGGGCTGTCAGGGAACTACCCAGTTGAATCCAGAATCCTAATCACAGAGGCAGAGAATGGAATCGCTAAACAAAACAAGCAGCAGCCAGATCCGTCAGGCCAGTGCCCATCAGTCAGACACAGGGAGATTCCTGCTTCCTTCCTCTGCTGGTCCTCCCAGAGCCCTGCACCATGGCAGCAGCTGTGCCCAGGAAAGGGACCAGGGCATCCCCACACCAGGAGCTGACTGCTGCAAATGCCCCGGGCCACCTGCACCTTTGTGGACTTGTACAAATGAGTGCTTTAGCTCATTGTATTGATGAGGACACAGAAACGGCAAGACTTGAGCTCAAGGTCACACAGACTCCCATCTGTCTCTCTATTCCACCCACCTTACAGTCCCTCACACTCATTCTCCCTTTCTGATATACCGATGCCTCACTAAACCGTGTGACTCATACCCAGGTACCCAGGCCTGATGCCACATACCTGTTATTCCCAACACTCCAGAGGCTGAAGCAAGAAGATCATGAGTTTAAGGCCAGCCTGGGCTACACCGAGAGACCCTGCCTCCAATAATTAAGAAGGAACTCTCCAGACAACTTTTCTTAGCCATGTCCTGGGATGAGTCCAGACTTACAGATTATTGTACCCTCTGCTATGGATTCATGTGTTCCCAAATTCATGTGTTTGCCAACTTAATCACCAGAGTCATACAATGATGATACTGGGGAGGGAATTAGAGTTTGGTGAGGTCTTGAGGCTAGCCCCATCCCTAGATAGGATTAGGGCCTTAGTAAAAATAGAAAAAAATGAACTGAGGCATGACTCATCGGTAGAGCGCTTGCCTGGAATCCACCAGCAAGAGGCCGTGAGCATGACTCAGTAGTAGAGTGCCTGATGGGCTTGTTCGAGTCCCAGGGTTCAGTCCTTAGAACTGCAAGAAGAAGGAAAGGAGCTGGAGTTAGGAAGAGGGAAAAGAAACCTAGGTTTGCAAGCTCCTGCCCCCTGCGTGCTCTGCCCCGTGCCAGCCATGCTCTTGGGCTTGCAGCCTTTAGGACCAACAGCAAACTGAACTGTGTTTTATCCGTTACCGAGTCTTGGGTAATTCAGAAAGTGAAGAATGACCACCCGTCATCTGATTGAATTCACTAGGGTCAGGACACCCAGAAGACATCAACCCACAGAAGAGAGGCTCCAGGTTGGAGGATGGACACCCCTGCATGGACAGTTGCGGCTGGGCCACCTGGGAATGACTGCTCTGAATCCCACCTCCCACAAAGTGCTCGGGCCAACCACAGAGCCAACTTCAGGGTCCAGGGACAGCTGACATCTGTGTCGGAAACAGCTCCACTAGCCGGAACCCCCCACCCCCACCCACCGCAGCACGCAGCCATGTGGGCACGCACTGCGACCAGTCCAGGCAATGCCCTGTAATCTAGCAATTTAGTAAATTGAATTTTCCTGTGAACACACGTGAGGATTTAAAGCCTTTTCGTGAGGTTTCTTTCATCCAAATTTGGTGCCTAGAGCCCAGGCTGCTCTCTAATTGCTGAGCACTTGGGTCTTTCACTTTGCATCTAATCTGCATACATTAATGGTCTACCCATGCAGAATTGCTTGTTCACCCTGAGCTAGTCAGAGGTCCCTGGGAGCAGTTCAACCCTCACCCCTGGGCCAGCAGAGACCTCAGGGTCAGAGTGACCTGGGCCAGTGGGAAGAGAGCCACAGGAAGTGTCCACAACAAGGCTGCTGCCACAGGAACGGGACCCCAGCCTGGTGTGCCACAGATGGCTGCAGAATACAGCCATCTAGGGGTGCCTGTGTCAAGGAGAGGCAGGACTTCATAGCCACTGAGCCATGAGTGGCAGCAGATCCTTCTGCTTTGGGCTGCCCCATCCACTTGGCCTCTCAACTGGTACCTGTCACTCAGACATGCAAGTCTTTCCAGGCCACAGAACTACACTAGAGAACCACTTGGGAAGAGTTGGTGACTCCGGCCAGAACCCTAGCCGCTGTCCCAGCTCCCCTCCCACATCTGGTACCAGCACAGCCTGTTAGCATCAGCCTTACCACAGGCATTTATTGGGGCCCTAGAGTATGTGCTAGGCATTGATCCCGTCCAACGAAGGCCCTCCCTAAGGACATCAAACTCCCACACTGTCCTTCAAAAACCCAAAGATCCCTGCCCCACCCCGCCCCACCCCTGCTGCCAAGATCTAGTCTGCTCCTGCCCTACCCTTAGGACACTCTGCAGACCCATAAAAACATCTCCTGGGGCTACAGAGCGAGTTCCAGGAAAGGAGCAAAGCTACACAGAGAAACCCTGTCTCAAAGAAAAAAGAAAAAAAAAATCTCCTGATCCAGGTTGAATTGCAAAGACCTGCCTAGTAGTGTGGGTGGGCCTTACCCAATCAGTGGAAGGCCTCAAAAAGAAAAATGCATGTTATCGAAGAAGGAATTCTGCCTTCAAACAGCTTTTGGTCAGAGAGCCCTGTGTAAGCGCTCATCACCTGATAAACTCCTTAAAATCCCTCTCTCCTTTCTCCTGTTTCTCTTCTTTCCCCGCCCTCTCTTGGGCTCTCTCCCCCACCCTCTCCCCCTCCTCCCCTTTCTCATTCCTTCCTTTCCATGTAGGTACTTCTTGTTGGGTGTGTTTTTCCTCAGAATCCTAGAGAACTGCCCCTCACTCAGGAACCTTCCAAGTTTCCTGTAATATGGGACCTGGCTGCTCGCTCAGGCTTGGCCTCTGAGCCTAGTGGGCAGAGCATGTCCCATTCCCAGGCAGCCTCTTCTGCATGGGGATTTGGGCCTCTAGGCTCAGCTCGGCACTGGTCACATACAGGGCTGCCCTGTGCTCTGGGTCCTGTCCAGAGCAGGTGTCAGGTGTGGGCTTCTCATCAAGAAGTGGAAACCGTGGTGCAGACACTAAAACCTGAGTTGCCCAGGACACCAGTGGCTCTTCCAGTCCTGAGGGGAAGTGGGGGGTGGTGAGCATGGGCTCAGTACATGCAGTGAGGCTCCCAGGGCCCAGACCGAGCCAAGGGGAGCAGTCCAAACCTCGAGGACTTGCCTGGGAAGCCCCAATATGAGCATGGGAAGAAGCAGTATGGACAGCTATGAGGCACCTTCAGCCCGAAGTTCTGGGATATGGAAAAGGGAAAGTTCCAGAAGATTCAAGAGTCAGGAGTGGACTTGGATCTGGAACCCACCCTCTGCCTCTCCTGGCCCTAACGTCTCCCATCCCCACCCTTCTGATTTGACTCCTTCACCGGGGCTCTCCCTCTGTGGACCACAGAGTCCAGAGAGGCAGGACCCTCTCCACACTGCCCACCGGGACCATGGACCTGGGTGGCCCAAGCAGCTGTCACCTCAACCGTGACATACCTGGTGACATGGGGTATTTTCAGCCCTTTCTAGGTGCTGTGTTCTTTTTCCACCCAATAGATGGAAATGTCTATATACTAAATGTCTACACAATCTGACCACAGGACTGGACACAGTCACCTCCTCCAGCTTTTCCTGAACATTAGGGATTGGGGTTCAGTATGGAAACCAGAAGATCTCCTTATATCTCTGCAGAGGGGTACACATATGATCCCTTTACCCAGAAACCCCACATGCTAGTGAAGACACTTCCTGACTCTGCCACAGACTCAGACTGCCCCTTCTGATTGTTAAGCTCTGAGAGCCAAGCATGCTGGTACACACCTTTAATCCCAGAGCTTGGGAGGCCGAGACGGGAAGATTGAAGATTTAAGGTCAGCCTGGGTTGTACAGTGAGACTGTCTCAAAAACACTGTGAAGAAAGGAAAAGGGGGAAAGGGAGAGGAAAGAAACCTGGCTGTGTGGGGCTAGGGTGTGGCTCAGTGGTAGAGACCCTGCCTAGAATCCCCCAATGAGGGTCTGGGGTGTATCTCAGTGGTAGAGCACCTGCTTAGAATCCCCCAGTGAGGGGCTGGGGTGTAGCTCAGTGGTAGAGCACCTGCTTAGAATCCCCCAGTGAGGGTCTGCAGGTGTGGCTCAGTGGTAAAGCCCTTGCCTAGAATCCCCCAGTGAGGGGCTGGGGTGTGGCTCAGTGGTAGAGCCCCTGCCTAGAATCCCCCAGTGAGGGGCTGGGGGCGTGACTCACTGGGAGAGCCCCTGCCTAGAATCCCCCAGTGAGGGGCTGGGGTGTGGCTCACTGGGAGAGCCCCTGCCTAGAATCCCCCAGTGAGGGGCTGGGGTGTGGCTCACTGGGAGAGCACCTGCCTAGAATCCCTAGTGAGGGGTTCATCAGTAAAACATTTATGCATAAAACCCTGAATTCCATCCTCAGTTCCACAAAAAAAGAGAGAGAGAGAAAAGAAAAGAAGACAAAAGGATGAGCCTTACCTATCATCATTGGCCTTTGCTTCCCTCAGAAGGTAACCAGAAAGGTTTTCAGCCAAAATACTGAGAAGAAAAACTTCCAAGAGATGAAGAGTTCAGAGCACGGAGCGCATTTGGCAGTCCCCATAACTCACGCCTTGTTTCTTCCCACTGATGCAAACTCTTCTCACGGGGTGTGTGTTTCTTTGAATGTCATCTGTCCAGAAAGAGAAAGCAACTGCTTATTTCCTGCTGTGCAGAAGGTTGAAGTGCCCTTACAGATTTTAACATCGTACTGAGAGTAGCAAACAGGTGACCCAGACAGTGAGAGCAGAGAGAGGGTGTGGCTGACCTGGAGGGTCTCCTGTCCTGGGTGAGGGTAGGGCACAGGTACATGGCAGCATCCACGTCACTGGAAGGAAGAGGGGAGGAGGAATCACAGCTTATGCTGCCTAGCAAGTTCACTTCATTGTTGCTTTTCTGGGTTTGAAATCTAGGATGAGCACCCTACTACTAAGCCACGTCCCCCAGCCCCTCACTGGAGGATTGTAGACAGGGCTCTACTGCTGAGTCACACCACCCAATCCCCTCACTAGGGGGTTCTAGGCAGGTGCTCTACCACTGAGCCACACCCCCAGACCCTCACTGGAGGATTCTAGGCAGGGGCTCTACCACTGAGCCACACACCCCAGCCCCTCACTGGGGGATTCTAGGCAGGTGCTCTACCACTGAGCCACACCCCAGCCCCTCACTGGGGGATTCTAGGCAGGGGCTCTACCACTGAGTCACATCCCCAGCCCCTCACTGGGGGATTCTAGGCAGGGGCTCTACCACTGAGTCACATCCCCAGCCCCTCACTAGGGGGTTCTAGGCAGGAGCTCTACCACTGAGCCACACCCCCAGCCCCTCACTGGAGGATTCTAGGCAGAGGCTCTACCACTGAGCCACATCCCTATCCCCTGTTTTTCTAAGCTGATTCTGGCTGCACTTGAACTTACTCATTGCCTAGGCCAACCTTGGACTAGTACTTCTACTGCTTCAGCCTCTTGAGGGCTAGGATCACCATGCTTCACCATGCCCTGCTGAATTCAGTTTTTAATCTAGATTCTATTTATTTAGAACCTTAGGGATGGGGGGGTGTTGAGGTGGCTCTGTTGAAGCCATAGCCTCCCTGTTCTTCAGAGTCGTATGCTACTGATGTCAGTCCTGAGGACACATCAGAAGCGATGGTTAGCGGACCCTTCTCGGGTGCTCCATAGAGTTGTCAATGGTCCTGAAGCACAGTGCTTGGGGCATGCACCTCCTCCAGCCTTCAGATACCTTGGTTTCTGGCTTTGGGTCGCCCAGAGCTTTGTCTTTGTTTAAATGACACATGGGAAAGCCACTGCCTCCATGTGAGAACTGCACCACCAGCATTAGGGAGAGTCCCTTGCATTCCCTTCATTATGTTTCTCTCTATTCAGAAGTAGCCGTGTGAGAATCAGGTCCATTGTCACCTAACGAGCTGCCTTGAGTTTAAGGGTTGGGCTTGGACAGCTTTGGGGACACCTCCAGCTCCATGTGAGATCGGTCCTTTTATCTGTTATAAAATTTCTTTTTCAAGGGGGCCATTGCTACCAGCTTGGCTTGTTTGGGGTTGTGCCCAGGAGGGAGTTTCCCTTTATCCTGTGCCCTTGATGCCACAGGACTGGCCATCTGTTGAATCTCACTGGTGGCCGAGAGGCAGCATGCACAAGGCAGGGTCCTCCTCTCCCCTGCACAGGTGAAAAGGGACAGAGCCCACAGCCCTGGCAGCCGCAGCCCGACTCTGATGAGTGATGAGGAGCCTCTGTAAGTGGCTCGTCAGCCCCACTCCTGGCCAGATTCAGCATGACTCATTTGCTCCGGAAAAGGAATATAAATAAGCACCGTCACACCTTGACAGGTTGACAGGGGTGACAACCAGAGTAAATCCCCGGATCTGAGACTCTGAGGGGGAGAGGTGATTTAGCAGAACCCGCTGCCGTCACCAGAAGAAAATAATTAAGGAACGCCGTGGTGGAGAGGGAAACGGAGCGGCTGCAGCGGGTCCCTTCTGGTGAAGGGATCTGTCATCGCTGGCAGCAGGAGAGGACCCCACACGCCAAAGAGAAATGAACTCTGGAAGCCTGTGCTGAAGAGAGGATGGGATGGGGAGGAGGGGCGCTGGTGGGGAATGCAATGGGCTCAGGCTGAGGGGACACTAGACAGGGCTTCACCACTAAGCCAGTACCCACTGCTCACCCCACTTCTGCACAGAGCTCCCCCCGCCACCAGGAAGGATGGTTTGAAAGCTTTCCCTTGTGTGTATGTGTGTCCTCACATACACACAGACCTGGGAATACCCAAGAAGGTGGGGGCATCCCGTCCTCTGTCCCAAAGGGGCATTACTTGTACCCAATCCAGCAGAAGGAAGTGATAGTGTACCCAGGATCTGTCTCTGCTTCCATCTCTTAAGGTTTCAGTATGAAAGGGCCCCCATGGGCCCCAGCTTGTAGTATGGTTTTGAAGGCCATGGTGCTTTTAGGAGGTGGGGCCTGGCAGGGAGAAGTGGGTCACTAAGGGTAGAGCTTTGAGTTTATACCCACTTCTGATTCTGCTCCCAGCCCATTATGTGGGAGGAGTCTATCTGATGCTCCTGTTACCATGACTGTCACATGCCTCCCCTGCCAGGGTGGACTGAAATCTCCCAGGCTGTGCACCAAAATAAAGCCTTCTTCTCGTTTCTATCAGTATTCAATCACAGCAGTGAGAAAGTTCTTAATACATTACCTCACTCGGGGGTTGAAGAAGGTCCAGAAGTTATGCATGGTAGCCCACACCTACGGACCTAGCAGGGAGATTGAAGCAGGAGGATTGTGAACGTGAGGCCAACTTGGTAAAAGTGAGACCCTGTTTTGGAAAAGAAGGTTCTGGAGTCTTGGGAAACAGCTTAGTTAGTTTAATGTTTGCCATGTAAGCATAAGGCCTGGAGTTTTGCTCACAATCACAGAAGTGAGAAAAACAGACCTGGAGGTGCTGGGATGTAGGATCCCCAGGGCTCACTGGCCAGTCAGTCTACTGAAGTGGTAAGCACCAGGGTCAGTGAGAGATCCCCAGTGAGTAAGCTGGTCAGAGGAGGAGGCAGACTCCAGTGTCAGCTTTGGGCCTGTACCCACACATGCACACACACACACATGCACACACACACACATGCACACACACACATGCACATACCCACACATGCACACACACACACATGCACATACCCACACATGCACACACACACACATGCACATACCCACACATGCACACACACACACATGCACATACCCACACATGCACACACACACATGCACACACACACATGCACACACACACATGCACACACACACACATGCACATACCCACACATGCACACACACACACATGCACATACCCATACATGCACACACACACATGCACATACCCACACATGCACACACATGCACATACCCACACATGCACATGCCCATACATGCACACACACACACATGCACATACCCACACATGCACATGCCCATACATGCACACGCCCACACATGCACATACCCATACATACACGCACACACACACACACGCACACACATGCACACACACACACAGATACACATAAATACACTCACGTACACATGAAAACCTAAGGTAGAGAATGGTCGAGGAAAGCACCAAATGTGATGACGATACATACATGCCCCCACACAGGGATGCTTCCAGAAAACATAGGCTCTTTAGGCCTTCCATCCCATAAGGAGCCTTTATGGGCCTCCTTGCTTGCTAATGAATAAAGGAGATGTGGGGCACAGCTTCAGACTGGGCACAACAAGATCAAGGTCACAACACCGAAGCCGCGAAACTGGATCCCACGGAGAAATCCACAGAGTCTGGGTCAGTGACGACCCGGATGTCCCTTCACTGGCTTCATACAGCCACTGACCTCTGCCCAACACACAGAGGTGTCAGGGAGTGCTGGCCCTCAGAACCACTGCTTCCCTGCCAGGAACCAGTCAGGTGTGGCTGGGCACAGTGCCCCAAAATTCTGGCCCTCACTCTGGCTCTCTGCTTGTGTGAGGGGCAGCGGTTGTTCTGATTGTGACCAGCTTTCAGCAAAGTTTCAGAGCACAGATGTCCACTCCAGGACCTAGGAACAGAGTCCCTAACATCTCAGTGGATGGGTGGGATCTGAAGTAGGAGATCCCTTAACATAAAACCTGCCTTCCCAACCAATGTCCCCCAACACACCAAATGACTTGAAGTGGAATTCCCCATCCTGGCCAAAGTTGTTGCCCTGGTTTACCTCTGCCCAGCCTAATATGACCTCTTTGGTGGGCGGAGGGAGCATTCCAGAGCTTGACCAATGCTGTGGTTGGTCAAGGGTAGTTAGTTGGATATGAAGTGTCCTCCAAAAGGCTTGTTAGGGCTTGAATGTGAAAGGTCCTTCACAGGCTTGGGTGTTTGAGCACTTGGCCACCTGGTGGCGCTGTTTGAGGCTGTGGAATCTTTAGGACACATGGTCTAGATGGCAGATATAGGACTATAGGGACTGGCTGGAGGACTATACCCAGCCTTGGTTTGGGCCTGAGATTTCTAGTTTCCGGTTGGCCAAGCTGTAAGAGTTCACTTCCCAACCACAGACAGAAGTCAAATGGCCGTGCCTCACCCACCATGCATTTGTGAGCTAAAAATAAATCTTTCTGTATTTTGTCTCAGTAACAACGAAAGTGTTAGTACAAGGTTTGTGTCTTAGAGCCCTGGTCCCCAGCTCTTGGTCCTATTTAGGAAGTTCTGAGAGCGTTAGGTGGTGAGACCTAGCTTGAAGGAGTGGGCCACTGGAAGTAGGTCTTTGAAGGTGTCTCGTCCCAGGCCCTTCCTGTGTTGCTCTCTCTGTTTTCTGGTCAGCTGTGAGGATAACAACCCTCCTCCACCACATGCTTCCCCCCCATAATGCTCTGTCCTAGCACATGAGGCCAAACAACCTCTGTAACAGTGGCCCTGAATAAATCTTTCCTCCTAAAAAAAAGATGTGTTTATTTCAATTATCTGTTTATGGATGTTTGCTGCATGTATGCTTGTTTACATGTGTGCTGTACCCATGGAGGCCAGAAGAGGGGGTAGGAGTCTCTGGAACTGGAGTTACAGATGGGTGTGAGTCAGTATGTAGTGCTGGGACTTGAACCCAGG